TTTTGGGACTGGGATTCAAGCCAGTGGCTGAAACATGCTGGGCAAGCACTCCACCGCTGAGCTACATCCTCAGTCCTCCTAAAACTTTTTTTATTTTGAAACTAGGTCTTGCTCAGTTGCCCAGGCTGGCCTTCAACTTTGTTTTTTCATTTTATTAGTACATATTTATGGTGTGGGGTGATTGCGCTCACAATTGAGAATCAGAACAGGTACAAAACACAGCACAATTCTTTGGTGCCTTCCTCCCCTTCTTTGACAGTATCAGACTCATTTATTTATTTTTAATGTATTTAGCACAGGGTCTACTACACAGATCAGAGTTGTAGTGCTCCTCCTGTTCTCAGCCTCCCAAGTGCTGGGATTACAGGCGGGATTACAGGCACACGCCACCTCGCCCAGCCTCAGTGGCTGTCTCAGCACTCTGGGGATCGAACGAACCCTGGTCCCTGTGCTCTGCGGAAGCAGGCACTTCAGTCCAAGCCGAGCTATCTTGTATCAGACTCAATTATCACCTCAGTCTTTATAAAGTTAACAGTGGGGGCACACGCCTGTAATCTCAGCACTCTGTAAACTGAGGCAGGAGGATCACTGAGTTCAAGGTCAGCTTCAACTGCATAATGAGACCTCATTTCAATAAGACAGAAATAAAATAAACGTATGCATACAGATTAATAGCCAGGCTAACAAACAAAATAATATAAAAAACCACCTAAGACACTTATGCTAAATTGGGCCAGGGAGATGGCTCAGTAGAACAAGCACTTGCCTGGCAAGTGCAAGGGCCTGAGTTTAATCCCTGGTTCCACCAAAAAAAAAAAAAAGGTAAATTAAGGTACACTTTTAGATGCACTGTACATGCTGCATTACCATAACGTTTTTCTCTTTTCCTCTCACCTGTTTTCTAACTGGCACTTTATATGCTGAGTTTTTCATATAAGAGAAACCATGTGATACTTAAGCTGGTGTGTTCGACCACTCACTGGTGGTCTTGGTATAGGAGAACCACAACTCCCAACCTGTTAGTTATCAGACGTGCCAAGTTCACGGTCTCTCGACGTCAAAGAATGAAGTTACAAACCCAAGATGTCAGGAGAGTCTACTTGGATATAAGAAGAGAAGAACACGTGCGTGTTCAGAAGGGGTCCGAGTGGGTTGCCTCCACGGCCCTTCAGCAGGGGTGATTCATACAGCAGAGTCATGATGTGGGTAAAACTAAAATCACCCCTAGACTTACAAGTGCCGCTGCTTAACTAATATTGATGTAGTAGAGAACTGAGTCATGGAGCAAAGGCACGTGGAAGGAACAAAGGCATTTGGGGAAGGGATGGGCCCAGGTGCTCCGGTCACCCACCTGGGCACCTGGCGCCTAGCTGGACTTCTGGGCCAGGTGGTGCTAATTACAGTCCAGGTTATTTCTCAGGTTGGTGCTTATCCCTTAGCGAGGCAGTGTGGCCTGGCCATGGCGTCTCTATCTTGAGGCCTAATCTTATTCAGATGCGCCTCCAGCCACTATTCTGATGTCTATTTTTGTGCTGATTTCCTTGAGAGACCTCAGTCCCCCTCTGACTATATATTAATTTCTAACACAGCTGCCTATAATAGCCTCAAGGTCCATGTTTTCACAAGTGACTCAAGTTTATCTAGAGTACTTTTTTTTTTTTGGTCTTTTTGAGATAGGGTTTCATTATGCAGTTCAGGCTGGCCTTGAGTTCACTTTGTAGTCCATGCTGGTCTCGAACTCACAATGATCCTCCCGCCTCAGCCTCTTGAGTGCTGGGATTATAAGCATGCACCACCATGCCCAGCCTCTATTTATGATTCTTTAAACAACACAGTACAACAACTATTTACAAAGCAATTATGTATATTAGGGATTATAAGTAATCTACAGGTGATTTAAGTATACAAAAGAAAGCAGGAGGCTGGTGTGGTGGTGTATGCCTATAATCCCAGCACTTGGGAGGCTGAGGCAGGAGGATCACTGCAAGTTCAAGACCAACCTGGGCTACATAGTGAGTTCAAGCCCATCCTGAACTACACAGTGAGAGTCTATCTCAAAAAATAAGACAAGTGCCAGGAATATAGCTCAGTGGAATAAGTGCCTGCCTGACAAGTGTAATGTCCTGAGGTGGATCCTTGGTACAAAAAAAAAAAACAAAAAAAACAAGGAACACAGAGAAATCAATAATGAGACAGGCATGGTATTGCAAGCCTGTAGTCCCAGCATGAGGGAGGCTGGGACAGGAGGATCATTGAAAGTTGGAGACCAGCCTGGGCTGCATAGTAAGTTCAAGGCCAGCCTGAATTAGGTGGTAAGACCCTGTCTAAAAAGAAAAAAAAAAAAAAGACCAGCCAAAGAGCTCAGCAGATTAAAAGTGCCTGCTTAGGTAGATGCAGTGGCCAGGGTTTGATCCCCGGTGCAACCCAGGGTATGCTGAGACAGCCAATTGAGACTGGGTGTGGTGTTGCATGCCGGTAATCCCAGCATTTGGGAGACTGAAAACAGGAGGATCACTACGAGTCTGATCTATATAGTGAGACCCTGTACACCCTGCAGACCCTGTCCTAAATTCAAAAAATAAATAAATAAATAAATGCCTGTTTGTGTTTCTTAAAAAATTGGCTTGCCCTAGAATCCTTTCTTTCCTCTACACAACTAATTTAGATGTGTAAACCTTTTATTTTTATTTAATAAACCAGCAACTTTTTTCCTTTCTCTTGGTCATCTAGCCTTTGTGTGTCTAATTCACATCCCTTGGGCAATGAACCTAAAAGGGTAGAGGCAGGCTTTCCCTTTGGCCAGCTTCTTTATCATAACTGTATGCCTGGATCTAAGCCTGGGCCTCTGAGGATTAGGATTTTGAGAGAAGGAAAAGCAGAGGGTGTGACAGAAAGTGCCTGGCACGTTTGCTCTCAGTGTAATCTCTTTGCCACCTGCTGGCCAGGGATTTCACATTGCTTGGGCTCTGCAGCTCTGTCCTTATTCTGAGTGTGAATTTTATTATCAACACCAAAGAGCTCATATTTGAGCTCCTTACTAACATTTTTCTGATCACTTACTTCTTATTTTCTTGGTCCTCTTTTACTTCTTCTTCTTCTTTTTTTTTTTTTCTTCCAGAACCAGGGATTGAACTCAGGTCCTTGCACTTGCTAGGGAAGCGCTTATTCCACTGAACCATCTCCCCGACCCCTTACTTTCTTTTTTTGGAGACAGGGTCTTCCTAGGTAGTCAAGGCTGGGCTTGAATTTACTTTGTGCTCTGGCCCACCTTGATATCTGGATCATCTTTCCTCAGCCTCCTGTGTGCTGGGGTTACAGCTGTTTGTTTTTGTCTTTTTTTAATTTTTTTTTTTTTTCAGACAGGGCCTTGTTATGAGGTCCAGGCTAGCCTTGAACTCACTACCTGTGGTAGTTGATACATTGTTTCAACTTGGCTGAATTGGCCCCTGCAGTTCCAGGAGTGGGGATGCAGCCCTGCAGGGCCTTAGGGCCCAACCTGGGGTGCTATTGGGCCTGCACTGGAGTGCAATTGGTTCAACCCTAGAGCCTTGGGCCACCCCAGAGTGACTCTGCACAAAAAGTGTATCTGAAGGAATTGAGGAAGGCTTCCTGGGCCCTGCCCCATTCCTTGGAGAAGTCCCAGTCTTTGGAGGAGCTACGATCCTCGCCACGGCGCGCCAGTCTTCTCAGTCAGCACGGAAGGAAGAGAGAGGCTTGATGGATGCCACAGCTGCTGCTCCTCCTCTGCTCTTCATTGTTTTCTGCTGCCATGAATTACTGTCATTTGCCTTGGAGCCAGCAGAATATGGACTGAACCCTCCAGTAACTGTGAGCTAAATAAACCTTTCCTTCCTTCATTTTGAGTGTCTGGTATTTGTCACAACAATGAGTAAAAAAGTAACTGAG